CCCTGCTAGGAGGGTCGCTACTGCCTCCATCACCCTGCTAGGAGGGTCGCTACTGCCTCCATCACCCTGCTAGGAGGGTCGCTACTGCCTCCATCACCCTGCTAGGAGGGTCGCTACTGCCTCCATCACCCTGCTAGGAGGGTCGCTACTGCCTCCATCACCCTGCTAGGAGGGTCGCTACTGCCTCCATCACCCTGCTAGGAGGGTCGCTACTGCCTCCATCACCCTGCTAGGAGGGTCGCTACTGCCTCCATCATCCTGCAATTATTTCCCAGAAACGTATTTACACTGGGAAAACATATCGAAACTAAACTGACGTAGAATTTACAGATGTCACAGAGACGTCATACAGGGGAGACGTCATACAGGGTAGACATCATACAGGAGAGACGTAATGCAGGGGAGGCATCATACAGGAGAGACGTCATACAGGGGAGACATACAGGAGAGACGTCATATAGGGGAAATATCATACAGGAGAGACGTCATACTGGGGGACATCATACAGGAGAGACGTCATACAGGGGAGACATCATACAGGAGAGACGTCATACAGGGGAGACATCATACAGGAGAGACGTCATACAGGGAAGACGTTTTACAGGGAAGACGTCATACAAGAGAGGTTATACAGGGAGAACGTCCATAGCAAGAGACGTCATACAGAGGAGACGTCAAACAGGAGAGACGTCATACAGGGGATACGTTATACAGGGGAGACATCTTACAGGCGAGACGTCATACAGAGGAGGCGTCATACAGGAGACATCATACAGGGGAGATGTCATACAAGAGAAACATCATACATGACAGACATACAAGAGATTAAATTTTACCACCGAAGTGGCTAGTTTATAGTGCGCCCCATATCCATCCTGTGGACGGTAGCGCAAGAGCATATGGATACACAAAAGTCCCAGGAACTAGGCCCCAAAACGGTTAGCAGGAGTACAACTGGATTTATATCTACAGTTCACTTATCTGTTACAAGCAAATTTAGGAAATTTGCTTAGTATATCTGGTATCTTATTTTCGTTAATAAGGTATCTTGACATGTCACATACTGTCTGTCTCTGTATTCCTCAATAAGTGGACAATTAAGCACATAGTGTTCAAGACAGTGACCATATGCTTGACCACATAATTTGCATTTAGTTTGATCATCTTTGTGTGTCTCCCAAACTGTCAGAAGTACTTGTAACCAAGCCTAAGCCTGGCCACTACAACATCAGTCAGTACTTGTAACCAAGACTAGCCTGCCATACAACACAGCAGTACTGTAACCAACTAAGCCTGGCCAAATACACAAGTCAGTACTTGTAACCAAGCCTAAGCCTGGCCACTACAACATCAGTCAGTACTTGTAACCAAGACTAAGCCTGGCCACTACAACATCAGTCAGTACTTGTAACCAAGACTAAGCCTGGCCACTACAACATCAGTCAGTGTTCACATTGCAAGTTGCTCCATAAACATACTTATCTACGTTTCATGTTATCATAGTGGGTTATAGATCTACTCAGGCTTCTAATTGCATTCCTATAACAATCACTTTCATTATTTACTTCTCTCCTAATATTATTCCTAATGCTAGACACAGATATACCAAAGTTATATTCTACATTCTCCTTCTGGGTACTCTTCTTGGCTAACATATCAACTTTATCATGAAGGAGTAATCCAATGTGTGATGGGATCCATAGCAATTGTACATTAATTCCTTTGTCCCGGATTTTTGAGTATCTATACCTGGCTTCTCCAATGAGCATGTTGTTCGAGTCATTATATGAGACAAGAGCCTTCAGTGATGACATAGTGTTGCAACCCCTGAATGGGTTGCAATGATTATTATGTATATTTATATTTTCATATAATTTTATATTGCTTATGTTTGCGATAATAGCTAAATCGTAAATATATTGCTTTATATTATTATTTGACTTAGTTATGTTGTTAGATAGGATGTAACATATTATGTGCTCAGTTCAAGTCTTGATTGTCTAACTACTATAATTATCGCTCTTTGCTCGTTAGACTGCCGGCTTCTGTTTCTGAGCTGCAGCTGTCCACGGAGCTATCACGTGATCGAGGGGGGGGGTGTCCTCACCTCGCCTGAAGTATTCAGTCTGGTCTAGACTCTCTTGGTGGTTGGACAGATTGTCGGTCTCATTATTCTTGTTAGTTCTGTAGAACTCTGTTCACAGAACATTGTATAGACTTAGTGATTTTCGACGTTGTACTGAGGTTGTGTGTCGCATAGACACTCTGAGCAACTCAGGTCCTGAGCTGTAGCTTCTGACCTAATTTGTACTGGTATCTGTGTATTATCACAGTCGGGGATTTTCTTATGCTAAACTTAGATTCAGTAGTATGGGAGTTTTGTGACTTGTGGAGGATCTGCAGATGGTCCCTACTTAGTGTCGTTATATTATCTCCTTGATCCTGATTGTGTCACAGTTGCTTGTTATATTTTTGTTCGGCTTATCAGTCGTTTTATTGTTCAAGCAGACTGTTCTGATTGCCAGTTGGTCAAGAACTTAGTTTATGAGAGGACTTTGTCAGTCACTTGTTTAAGTCTAGTCGAGTCGTGAGACATAGCGAACTACTTAGAGCACTTACATACATACACACAAACTTACTTGTACATATTTGTAATATCTTATTAAATGTTAATGTACCAGACGGTACTTAAGAATTATAAATGTGATATGTGCTTTCAGCACAATAATACTGTATACGAGAGAAGTGATTATTATTATTTTGATTACTGTAATTAATTTAATTTAATTTGATATACGCCTAGACAACTTAATAAATGTATTAAATTTTATTTTCTCTAGTTAGTAGCCTACCAGTTGTAATCCTGAAGCACTATTGAATCATATTGAATTCTAATGGATAATTGGACAAGGATACTGAGTAATTGTTACGAAAACCCAGTAACAGGCTGGATGCTAGAAGGGCAGTCCTTTCTAGTATTCACTGGAGATCTCTAAGCTATTAGAATCGCGTTTTTTGTAACACATAGAATCAGTAATGATGATAGAGTCAAGCTCAGTGTCATAAGTTAGCTTTAGCGCCATTAGGACTGCAAACAATTCAGTTTGCAATGTAGATGCCCAGCTGTTAATTTTTATTCCTAACTCAACAAATTTATTATTCTAGCAGATGCAGCCCTGCCAGAAGACTCCTGTTTAGTTCCATCAGTGTATATTACTACCAGCTAGGCCAGAAATTTCTTCTTGAGCAGTTGCTTTAACAAGTGATTTAAGGAAGGGATTACTAGCAATGAGCTTCTTGGGAGGGACTTGTAGGTATGTGATATTAAATGAAGACATCTTCCATGGAGGGTGAAATACTCTTGTTGTCTACAGTGATACAGTTTATGCAGGTTATAACTTAATATAATTGCACGTTTTCATAAACCGTTTACAATTGAATGTATTTACTTCTAGAGATTTAGAAAGATTCATATTGACAGTGTCTGGTTCATTTCTTAACATTCTAATACCAAGTACAGTGTTAATCTCAACAGTACTATCACTGATACTAGAAATACCAAGCTCCTTCCTCACATTAAGAACATTTGGGACAACCAAGAATAATTCTGAAAGCTTCATTTTGCATTAACTCCAAGGGTCGGAGAGAACTTTCTCTAGCTAATATCAACATGGGAGCAGCATAATCAATTAAGGACCTAACATAGGCTATGTACATCATTCTCACGATTCTCACACTAGCACCATAGTTGGGGTTGTAGCCAGCAACAGCTTTGAGAGCATTTAGCCTATCTTTGCATTTCTTATTTAGTTTTGATATAGCCTATGTTTTCACCCTGCAGACAGATGGGTGGGGAATATCGTTTACTTGTCAATATCTTTGTTTTAGAGGAAATTATTATGAGGCCTAGTCGATTACAAATTGCTTGAGCTTCATTAAGAATGGTACTCATCTTCTTATGCCTTTTTTTTTTTTTTTTTATTCGCCGGTACTCTCCCGTCCTGGGTCTTTTCAAAGTAGTGGTGACCCGGCCTTGGCTCCCTATCTGGGGAGTGTCTCGAGACCTAAGTCTCCCATGGGAGGAGGCGCAAGTACCCCCTCATCTTTGGGACCAACTGTTCCCAGGCCTAGCCACAGTCCCCGCCCTCACGGGGCTCGTAGGGAGAAGCTAGGCCTCTGGTCTGCCATCTGTCCCGCCCCAAAGAGGCTCGTGGGGATGGCAGTCTTATGAGCTGCAGGTGGTAGCAAGCAACGTATGCCCTGTTGTATGGATCATGATGTCATCAGCATAGCTTATAGCTATATATTTATGTGAGGCAGGTAGAGCATTGAGAAGAGCATTAATCAGAATATTAAATAGCAGGATACTATGAACTCCTCCCTGTGGTGTACCTAGGGACATTTCTTTAGACTCGCTTCTAAAGCCTTGGTAGAGGACAGAGGATACTCTATTTGACAGGTATCCTATTTTCCAGTAGAGTAAGCTACCACCAATATTCATTTTGGCTAGTTCATGTAGTATAACGGTTCTGTTCGCGATATTAAATGCAGATTTTAGATAAAGAAAAGTGGTAAAACTAGTAGAGGTGTGTGCAGTGAGAAAGGTGGAAATACAGTTCTGCACACTTTTACCTTTCATGAGCCCATACAGGCAGGGGGAAAGTTGATGTCTGATTCTGTAGTACAGTCTGTTAAGTATCATTCTTTCAAAAGTTTTACCAAGACAACTAGTTAAGGAGATCGGTCTAAATGTATCAGGCTGTTGGGGCTTAGGGATAAGCACAGTGAGATTCTTGGCCCAGGAGGTAGGAAGAACTCCCTCAATGCAAAGATATATATAAGAGACATATAAGAGAGACATTATATAAGAGAGACATCATATAAGAGACATTCAAGAGAGACATTATATAAGAGAGACATCATACAGAGAGACATCATATAAGAGACATTCAAGAGAGACATCATACAAGAGAGACATCATACAGAGAGACGTCACTGACCTTCCTGGTTGTGTTAGAGAAGACAGCCTTCCTGAAGCTCTGACACTTGGAAGGTGGCGCGTCCCTGGGACTGTCACCCACTGAACCTGTCACCACACAATGCTACACTCATTATTATTGTTAATTCCGTAATTAATATTGTTATTATTACACGAATGTATTCACATATATATTTACTTAGTGGTTATGCGTGCTCGCACGTGTGTGCTTGTGTGTGTGTGTGTGTGTGTGTGTGTGTGTGTGTGTGTGTGTGTGTGTGTGTGTGTGTGTGTGTAATAGTGAAACACTATCTAGCTCCTGGTCTCACATCCTCCGCTTCTTCTTCCCTCCCCCCCCTCCCTCCCTCCCCCCCTCCCTCCCTCCCCCCCCTCCCTCCCTCCTGTGTAACGATAACCCCAACAGGTTAAGATAAAGAATATGAAAGTCAATGAACCATACCGGAAGTCCAGACTTCCTGGTGGCTGGCCTGATCGATCAGACTGTTGGTGCCCGGTTCATCAGGAACTGACTTGAGGAAACTATCACGTTCCCTACTGAAGACAGCTAAAATGCTTGTTGGTAATTCCCCTTACGTGCGACGGGAGACGTTGAAGAGTCGTGGTTCCCCTACACTACTCACGATTGTATAACAGACGTCGTGTATATAAAATCAGCAATACATCTACACTTCTAAGGGTGTATATACCAGTATATATTCACTCCAAAGTTTATATTATTTATTTAGAAGAACACTGAGTGGCGGTGTACAGGCGTCATGCAGTCTTTATAACTCTCATGCAGTCGACAGACTTCAAACCCAATTAATTAATCATCCGACGCATTCTGATGCTCGTTAAACATGAAGGTTTAGTCAGTCTTGACGGTGGATTATGAGGACGTAATGTGACTGCGTGTTGACGCATACAAGGTTCAAAATTGACGCAGTCTCGTGCGGTCAGAGGTCACGTGTGGTCATTGTCTTAATCTGTCTGGGACTTAGCGTGGGGTGTTACTGAGCACCGTGGCTTGCTGTAGTGTTTTGTAATCTCAGGTTAAAGTGTTGAAGAAGGAGGTTCTTCTTCTTCAGGAGGAAAATAGGAGGCTGACGCTTCGCCTAGATGGGTTTGGGAGTGAGTATGAGATGGTGGTAGCTGGTGAGGAAAAGAATACCAGCAGTGAGCTAAAGAGCTGCAGCCACTTTAAGTGGGAAGTGGTTCACAGTTCAGGAAGAAAGAAGATAAGGAAGGTTAATAGAGAAGTTGTGAAGGTAGCAAATCGATTCTCTGTTCTCCAGGACGAGTGTACTTCGGTGGTTAGTGAGGTTAAAGGTACCACCGATATCCCTGCTAATCAAGGTAAGATTGTAGAAGATTCTCAGGTAAGATACATGGACCGTGCTTTTTGTAACAGAGATAGGAAGGTCAGACAGAGGGTGTGCCTCCCAGGAGCTGGTGTTGGTGACATAGTAGGTTGGATAATATTAAGTCAGGCAATGGGAACAAGCCCATTATCTGTCTTAGTGCTGGTGGAAATGACTTCAGGAAGGGCAGGAGACAGGAGCTGCTGGATAAGTACAGGTCAGCCATAAAAGTTGTCAGGTCTAAGGGAGGGATCCCAACCATTTGTAGCATCTTGCCTAGAAGGGGAGTGAGCAATGAATGGATGTCTAGGGCAACTGGTATAAATTGCTGGCTAGACAGGTACTGCAGGGAACTTGCAATCCCCTTCAATGATAACTTGGACAAATTGTATGGCAAGCATGATATGTATACAAGGGATGGGGTTCATCTCTCTGGGGCTGGAGTGGTTGCATTAGCCAATTCGATTGAGGAGGTCATTGATGACTTTCAAGGACTTTAAACTGATAGGTTATAGAGGTATGGGTGTTTGTGGGAAACAATCAGGCTGCAGTATTAGGGTTGAAAACATCAGATATTACCAGGATACCTCAGAGATATGTTTAAAAGACAATATTAAAGTTGCTAGTAAAGGCAAATCAATTGATCAACAAACAAAGAGAGATAGTAGTGGGCAACGAGTGACTAGCTCCCTTAAGGATTACTATACAAATAGTAGGAGTCTAAGAAATAAGACAGATGAGCTAAGATTACTTGCAAGTGCAGGTAATATAGATATTATTGGTATAATAGAGACCTGGTTCAACTTGAAAGATAGAGAAATGCCTTCTGAATGCAACATACAGGGTTATAAACTATTCCACACTGATAAGGTTAACAGGAAGGGTGGTGGAGTGGCGATGTATGTCAGAGATAATTTAAACTGTTGTGCTAGACAAGATGTAAGATTAGAAACATCGGACACAGAATCTGTTTGGCTAGTTTCTCGAAGGTCGTGAAAAATTAATTTTGGGTGTGATTTATAGGTCCACAAACCTTGATAGGGAGAGAGAGAGAGAGAGAGAGAGAGAGAGAGAGAGAGAGAGAGAGAGAGAAGATGGAGACAGAGAGAGATAGAAGAGGGAGAGAGAGAGAAGACAGACGACAGACAGAGGGAGAGAGAG